CTTCCCAGTCTCTTATGCCCTGTGCTCCCATCAGTTGTCAGAGACTTTGCCCAACAAGCCCAGAACGTCAGCCCAGCCCACCCTAACTTGCTGAATGTTTCTGGAGAAAAGCAGTAGCACAGACAACCTGGAAATATAGAACCCAGGCTTTACAGGACTAGGGAAGAACAGGGCCAATTTCCATACTTTCAAGGAGGAAGATGTCACTCCAAGTGGTTACCATGTCTCCCTTCCCAGCCAGGGTGGCCCCTCAAGAGGGAAGTGTGTGGCAGCTTCTGTGTGCAGATCCCTCCTGCCCCATCTGCAGTGCTGTAGATCTGGAGATTCAGCAGTTGCTGGTGGGTGAGAGCACTCTGATCTCCCCCACCTCATTGGGTCCATCACAGACCTCCTCTTGCCTAGAGATTTTGTCCATGTCTAATCTCTTTTTGGAGCAGATTCAGGGTTCCCTGCAATCCAAAGAGCTTTCACATGCATCTGCAAACCCCACAAAGTCACAACTAATGAATTAGAAATCCTTAATCCAGTCAGCTTCCCAGTCAACTGGTACAATCAGCATCCAAGATTATGAGACTGAACATATCCAACTAAAGCAGAGATTTCAAGTACCAGATGTGTCCTGGGATGCAAGAGCTCTGTCTTCTTCAAGCCTTGAGGAACCTAGGATTCCTGTGAACCAGCAGGACAAGAAGAGCAACTGTGAATGTGTCCTGGAGAAAAAAGGTCAGCAGACCATGAATACCTAATTCTCTCTGTTTTCCTGAACCCAGAACTCAGAAACCTTAAACACCCTATGGCCTTGCATATTCCTATGTCCCAAAAGTCCTGAGGTATCTTTAAAAGCATGTATATAAATGCATAAATTTCTACACCTGCGGGCTCCCAAGATCTGTGGAAGTGTTTCAATGCACCTTATACTGCCACCAAAATTTTTCAAGCCCAGAAGAAAGAACAACCATTTCTATCACCATGCATGTTACCTCAAATGCCTCTGTTGAAAACATGGGCTTTTGTCTCCATGACCTGGAATTCATGGGAAGACAGCCAGTCTGCTCAAACACTGGATTTTGAAGGATACCCTATGAACCCACAGTAAGTATCACTGCAAGAAAATCCCAAACTCCATGGGTCTGGCTCTACCTACCCTCTACCACCTTTCAGTTTCTAAGTGGCCCCTGTCCACTGTCTGGGGGATCCGTCAAGGCCTCAGTGTGTTATCTGCAGCAGAAACATGGCTACCTTTCTATGGCTCCTCGTTTTTGCACAATAAGTCCCTGGTCTACCCCCTGGAGATCTCTCCACAAAAGGGGGGCCTAGTCCCTTTTTCTTCAGTCCCTTAATCTCCATACTGTCTTAAGATTTCATCCACTTCAGTTAGCCCCACCTTCTTCCCACATTCCCACATTTGGGCATCTCCATCTGACAATCAACAAGCCCATAGCAATGTCCCGTTTCCAGCTCTGGCCAAGTGTAAAGCCTTGGCGTGGCACCAGCTGCAAAGGCAGCTCCCACTTCAGTGGGATTTGCCAACTGTTTCCCAGAGATATCTCTGTAGAAGCACAGACCATACAACATAAGCCCTGAGACATATTGTAGCCTGCCCCCTGAGACCCATGGACTTACCTGTTTGGGGAAGCCCATTTCAGTTTTCAAGAAAGAGTTTTCTTGGAGCTTGTCCGGAGCTACTGGAGTTGTGCCTTAGCAGGTTGATTCACCATTGCTACGGTCTGTGCCAGATGATCTGTCAGACCAACCAGTTGCTCTTGTCCCCTCCTGACCAGCAGCCTCTGCCCTGGAGCAGCACACTGACCAATGTGAATGTTAAATGACCTGCAGGTCTAGAGGCCAGTGGGGATAGTGACCCGTTCTGATCCACTGTGGCAGCTCGCCTAGACCAAGGCAGTGTTGCAGAGCCAAATTGATGTGGGAATATCTGCTACGGCATTGTCTTCCCAGCAAATGTAGGAAGATCTGCTATGTCATTGTCCTTGCCCAAACATGTAGCTGTTGGAACTGCAAATCCCTGGGTCTGCAGCATTTTAGTGGCCTTGGCAGCAATTCAGTTTCCCTTGCACCCCAGAAAATAAGCTCCTACACATGAGGCAGCATTCAAGCCCTACATGGATCAGGAAATGACACCCTAAATACTGACAGCGCTTGACTAGTAGCAAGCCTCACTAGATGCTGTCACTGATGAGCTGATCAGCACCTGCCTGAGTGTCCTCCAAGGGAGCCATTTAAGAAACTGGAGACAACTTTTGGCCTTCTTGTCAGGGCTGCTTGCCCTTTATTATGTGGCTCTCTCTAAGGCCATGGCCCCAGCAATCACTAGCCAGTCTGCAATCACACAGATGATTCCTGCACCTGTTGGGGGTCCAGTCTTATCTAAATAGCAATGTAGAAGTCCTGGGGCAGGCGTTACAGATGCCAATGAGACTTCTGCAGACAGTGCACAAGTATTCCAAACTAAAGAACAGGTAAATGGAGATGGTGACTCTAGAAAGCCAGACAGATCCTGTTAGTCCTGACCACTCTCAAGCCACCCATCTTAGCCAAACTAAATTTATTTTTATTAAAATATTATTGATATACAGTCTTCTGGTGGTTTCACATATACAACACAGTGGTTCAACATTCACCCATATTATCAAGTTCTCACCCCCTCCATTGCAGTGACTGTCTATCAATGTAGTAAGATGTTATAGAGTCATTAATTGTATTCTCCGTGCTGTATTACTGTCCCTATGACGTATACCTATATTGTGATTACAAATTATTGTGCCCCTTAATCCTCTTCTCCCTTTCCCCTGACCTTCCCCAACTCCTCCCCTTTGATAACCACTAGTCCCTTCTCAGAGTCTACTGTTATTTAATTTCTTCTGTTTTGCTTTGGCCAAACTAAATTTTTACCTGAAAAAGAAATTCCTGGAGACAGATTTGGGAGGTCTCATAAAGACAAAGTAGTCCAGGCAATAAACTGTGGCTGTCCCAAGGAATATCTGCGCCTAGGAGTCTTTTAGGAGTCTAAACAATATACCAAGGGAAAACATTTCTCCAGGAACCTCCCATCCCCCCAGACATCTCATGTGCCCCAGAAAGGTTCACTTAAAGAAGAGCTTGCAATAAAACTAAGGTGGTGCAGCAGAACCAAAAGTAACCTGGTTCCAGAACAGTCCTCATGGTTCTACCCACTAGACCTCTGATATCTCACAGCCTAGTAGGGACATGATAGAGGCCCAGGCGTTTGTATTCAGCTGAAGAGGTCCAGCCTGGAGGACCTCTGCACCTCTTAACCCCAGGCCTCTACAAGGGTGAGGATAACTCTCTACCTACCCCAGCAGAGAAAACAGAGGACTCAGGAAAACTCAAAGCAGCAGAGAATGACCGAGAATAGTAGCATTGAGGCTGTCCCCAACCAGAGAGAACATAAACTCTGCTAAAGTTCAGGAGCTAGTAGGGGCACTCTAAGTAGAACCCCCAGAGCCCTTGATTTCCCAAATGTATCTCCAGAATCTTTCTCAGGCAGAATTTTAGTTTGGCCAAAATTGTTTCCTTGAGTGAGTTGGGACCAGAAGGATCTAAGGCTATAGAGCCATCCTCTCAGCTTACTGCTCCCTGTCAGCACCGTCACCAGCTTCTTCTTCACCTGGATTTCCTAGAGCATCCTTCAGGATTCCTGAGGGCAAAAGGCCCAGATAAGAATGGTCTTCAAGGCTGTTAGAGCAAGCTGAATGACGTTACCCACGATTCCTGAGAATGCCAAAAGTGAAGTGTTCAGGGCTTAAAGGGCCAGACATTACAGGGCAACTTATGGGGCCATCATTTGGTAGGCCAAATTTTGTTAAGTCCAGTATTTGAAGAGGTCACATTTTTCAGATTCACATTTTATGGAGCCAAAATTTGTAGGGCCATGAGCTACAGAACCTGGTAAAGGTAGCCCATACTCACCAGAGCCCTACCCTTTCAGAAGCTGCAGAAGCTGGCTTGGGAAATGAGATGAAGCACTTTCCACGCTGAATTAATCCCAAGGTGAAAGGTCAAAGGCATAAGGAACCCATTCTTCTGTCTAAAGATGAGACAGTGGCCAAAACCACAACAAAAAAGGCTGAGAGGTGGCCACAGCCTGTCAAAGACCTTGTGAGGGCAGCTAAGTTGGAAAAGAAAACAGAGGAGGAGGGCATGACCTTCTTTGATGCCCCCCCAGTCCCTAGACAGCAACATTCCCTTCAGTCCAGACACTCCTGGTTCCTGTGCCTTTCCTGCAATGGCTGCAAGCACTGTCCTCAGTTGATTTGTACCACTCAAACAGAAAATCCATCTCAGGCCACAGCTCTTACCTTAGCAGAAGGCACATGTCTATTGAAGGAGCATATCCAGTCCAGGATAAAGGAGTTAGTAGGTTCCCAAACTTCTGCATCCCCCTGAAAAAGGCTGTCATCATCATTTCCATTGATGTGCAGATGAGGCAAGATCCCTCTTCAAATATACTCTGTACCTTTAACCAAAGAACCACCTGTTTGTGCTTCCTTATTTTCAAATTGATATGTGATAGAGTAGAGGAGGCAAATAATACTTCCCATGGTACAGGAGCGTAAAGCCACACTTTGCTGGGTCAGCATTCCACACAACTCTTGCAGCCCCACCATCAACTGTTGATAAAGGGTCTTAAGCAGAGAAGGAAGGCCCTTGTCTGAGGTGTACTGAAGGTAAAAGTCAGGCTTGAATTTTATCATGGCTTCCTGTGGCATCCTTGGGCCTAGAGAAGCAGTGTGGGCATGGTGATAGTACAGATAGTGGCCAGGAATCCAGTGCATTTTTGACCCACAGGTACAATTAACCAGCAACTACTATATATGCCCACAATCTGGAGGGAAGGACTTTGGGGGAGTGTCACAGTACTCCATCCTTGAGGAAATGCTTCTATGTTTATCAAAAGTACACAGATAAATTTGACAGATGCCAAAAGCAAGCAATAGAATCTCTCCTTCCTATGTGCCCTATTGTTATTGATTAGATCTGAAAGGGGTAACCCATCTAGAAGCCTGCTGTAGGCCTGTTGCCTGTTTGACCCCCATTGCCTTTCAGCTGCATGGTATAAATGCCTCCTAGAATGATGATCAGTTGATAGGAAGGTCCTGCAAAGGGTCATAATAAAAGTGATTTTGAGCTGAGTCTTGTATTCAACAATTCAAATATTCATGTACTTACTGTGTGCCAGGTACTATGCCAGACACTAAGGACACAACAGTTAACAACACACAGGCCTTTCTCCATAGAACTCATGGAATCATGGAATAGACAGTCAAAAAAAATTACTAAAAACAATGTGAAAACAGCTGGTTAGAGGAAGTAGGTGAAAGTACATAAAAGGGCACAAAAGCTAATTTGGGAGGATGTTCAAATTAAACAGGTGATATGAAGATTGAATTTCAAAGGATGAGCAGAAGGTAGCTGGGAAGGAGGTTGGGGCTAGACAGGCTTCCCCAGAACAAGCGGTACATGAGCAAAGGTGTGGTGTCAAACAAATGGGCATACCATGTCAGAGAGCAGTGACTTCATGGTGAGTAACTGTAATAATCAAAAAAGAGTGTTAAAATGTTTAAGGCATCAGATTGAGGTTGTCAAAGTAGAGAATAGATGGCATTGATGCATCCATTTTTTCAACTAATATTGAGTTGGCAACTATATGCCAAGCACTTGTATAAGCATTAACCCAATGAGCTTCCACTGGTGGTGTGTCAGGGAAAGAAAGAAAAAAAGCATAAGTAAAAAATAAACTATGTAGAACGTGACCAAATATATGCAAAAAATCAGGGTAAGAGATCTGTGGAATACTAGGTGGGGTGCAGTTTTAAATAGGAAATTCAGGCAGGTCTTACTAAGAAATTAACATGTGACCATACACTAGAGGGAGATGGTCTAGTCTATGGATAACTCAGAGCATTCCAGACAGAGATTAGAGGTAATGCAGAAGTTGGAGGCTGGGGCATGTCTAGCCTATTCCAAGCAACAAGAACAGTAAGCCTAAAGTAGAGTAATCATGGGAGAAAGTAGTAAAGAATAAGGTCAGAGAAGTAAAGAGGCCACATGGGGCAAGGCCTAGAAGGTCATTGCAAAGACATTGACTCTTAACTCTGGGTAAATGGGGGAGGGGAGCTCTTGGAGGGTCTGCTTAGATCTGACATATTTTAAAAGGATGACTTAGGCTGTGGTGCTAATAATACAGTACAGACTTCAGTAGAAGCAGGGAGATTAGTTATGAGGTAACTCTAGTAATGGTAGAACAGAGGGGATTAGAAGTGTTTAGTTACTGGATTCAATTTGAAGATAAAGACAGCAGGATTTACTACTAGATTGGATGTGGATGTGGACAGAAAAAACAAGTTGAAGATGACACCAGTGTTTTTGGCTGAAACAACTGTCAAGATGGAGTTGCCATTAACAGAACTGAGAAATACTGAATGTTGTAGAGTGGTATTTGTGATTGGGTGGCCCGGGGTTGGGGTGTAATGAGGAGTTCACTTTGGTAGTTAGAGATGGATATTGGACATTCAAATGTATATGTTGGTTAGGTGATTTGGGCATATGACCCTGGAGTTCAGGAAGTGCCCAGGCTTTAGGCATACAGATAGATAGCTAGATAAATAGATATACATAGAAGATAGATGATTATTATAAAGAGATGGGAAGATGGAAGATAGGTAGATCAATGTATTTAAACCTGTGAACAGTAAGACTGGGGCTGGGGAGGTAGATAAATTATTATAGCAGTGTGATTACAGATGTGGTGTATGGGGTCCTGCCACAAGAAGTGCTCAGTCAAGAAAGAGTACCATAGGGTCATATAAAAGGGTCACAATAAAAATAAAAGGTGTCTTGGGGAGAGAGATTAAAGACGGCAGTATGAGAGGTGAGAGAGAGGCTTCTTCCCTAAACCACATATAATACAAAAATATAATTAATACAACTAATCCTCAAAGAGCAACAGGGAAGAAGGCTGTGCCAGACTGCATACACCTGGAGAAAAGAACAAATCTCATGAAACAGTGTAAAGTACCAAAGCCATGATCTGGTGGGACCCAAGCCCTTCCACCACACCAGCTTACTGGTGGGAGGAAGAGAAACGGAGTGGGGAGGGAATGGAGGCCTAGGACTGCTGAATACCCAGCCCTGGAGATCTGCTCTGGAAGCACAAACCTCCATTGCATGGCACTCTGGAGATTAGTGGGGTTAGAAAGCGAAGACAGATGGAATACTTGGAGAGACTGAGATTCCAGCCGCTTGTGGAAAATGGGGATCCACATCCAGCTGCTCTGGGACAAAACAAAGGTGGGCAGTCTGAGAGACTTCCTAATGGCAAGGGGGCTGCTAAAGGGGCAATGATTGCACAGAGCTTACTGCTCAGGAAAAAGGACAGGTGAACAAAATTGCCCAGGCGCACTCTGCCCAGCAGATTAGGAACATTCAGAAGCTTCAGGTGCTCCATCCCCCTGGCTGGCTAGGCAGCTCCAAGGCCCCCCACTGTGATATGCAGCCTGCTGTGCCTTCCTCCCAGCCAGCCTGCACAGGCTCGAAAACAGGCAGCCCCTGCCCTGCTATCAGGCCAGCCAGAGGGAAGCCCCACATACAGCAGCTACAAATGCAAAGCATAGAGGATTATACATGTGTGCTCAACCCACTGCTTCTGGCAGTGGAGACAGCCAAGAAGCAGGAAACAGCTCTTTCCTCCCCACAGGCACAAGCACCACACCCCTGAGACCCCCCCCCCCCCCCCACATGGCTCCAGGGGCTGAGCAGCTCCAGAGAAGAGAGCTTCTGGGCAGTAGAGGGCACCACATACAAATATGAAACATCAAAGGAACCTGGTACAAATAAAAATCCCACAAACACCAGAAAAAGGCTCAAGTGAAACTGAACCGATCAATCTTCCTGACAGAGATTTCAAAATAAAAATCATAAACATGCTCATGGAGGTACAGAAAAATACTCAAGAACTCAGGGAAGAAATCCAGATGGAGATTCAGTCATTATGGAATACAGTATCAGAAATGAAACATACAATAGAGGGATTTAAAAGCAGATTAGATAGAGTGGAGGAGATGGTAAATGGAATAGAAATTAGAGAAGGGAAATACAAAGAAACTGAGGCAAAGAGAGAAAAAAGGATCTCTAAGAATGAAATCATATTGAGAGAACTGTGTGACCAATCCAAACAGAACAATATTCGTATAGGGGTACCAGAAGAAGACGAGAGAAAAATGGATAGAAAGTGTCTTTGAGGAGGTAATTGCTGATTCCCACCCTCCCCACTTTTGTTCAACATAGTTCTGGAGGTCTTAGCCACAGCAATCATACCACAGAAATAAATGAAAGGCATCCAGACTGGTAAAGAAGTTAAACTGTCACTGTTTGCAGATGACATGATATTGTACCTAAAAAAAAAAAAAACATAAAAATTCCACTCCCAAACTACTAGAATATCTGAATTCAGCAAAGTTGCCAGATACAAAATTAATACACAAATTTGTTGCATTTCTATACACTAATGATGAACTAGCAGAAAGAGAAATCAGGAAAACAATTCCATTCACAATTGCATCAAAAAGAATAAAATACCTGGGAATAAACCTAACCAAAGAAGTAAAAGACCTATACCATGAAAACTACAGGACACTCATGAGAGAAATTAAAGAAGACACCAATAAATGAAAACATATCCCATGTTCATGGATAGGAAGAATTAATATTGTCAAAATGGCCATCCTGCCTAAAACAATCTACAGATTCAATGCAATCCCTATCAAAATACCAACAGAATTCTTCAATGAACTAGAGCAAATAGTTCTAAAATTCATATGGAACCACAAAAGACCCTGAATAGCCAAAGCAATCCTGAGAATGAAGAATAAAACTGGGGGGATTATGCTCCCTGACTTCAAGCTCTACCACAAAGCCACAGTAACCAAAACAATTTGGTACTGGCACAAGAACAGAGCCACAGACCAATGGAGACTAGAGAGCCCAGATGTAAACCCAGGCATATATGGTCAATTAATATATGATAAAGGAGTCATGGACATACAATGGGGAAATGACAGCCTCTTTAACAACTGGTGTTGGTAAAACTGGACAGCTACATGCAAGAGAATGAAACTGGTTTATTATCTAACCCCATACACAAAAGTAAACTCGAAATGGATAAAAGACCTGAATTTAAGTCATGAAACCATTAAACTCTTAGAAGACAACATAGGCAAAAATCTCCTGAATATAAATATGAGCAACTTCTTCCTGAATGCATCTTCTTGGGCAAGGAAAACAAAATAAAAAATGACCAAATGGGACTGTATCATGCTAAAAAGCTTCTGTGCAGCAAAGGACACCATCAGCAGAACAAAAGGCATCTACAGTATGGGAGAATATATTTGTAAATGACATATCCAACAAGAGGTTAACATCCAAAATATATAAAGAACTCATATGCCTCAACAACCACAAAGCAAATAACCCCATTAAAAAATGGTTGGAGGATATGAACAGACAATTCTCCAAAGAAGAAATTCAGATGGCCAACAGGCACATGAAAAGATGCTCCACATGACTAATCATCAG